CTCTCTCTCTCTCTCTCTCTCAAATAAACTTTAAAAATTAATAAAAAATAAAATAAAGGATACTCATGGGCAAACCAAGATGTATATGTAAAAAGGAAGCCCATAAACTCCTAGGGAAAAGATAGTATTTTTGCTGGCACTCGGCTTCTACTCTTGATCAAAACGCAAAGTTCAAGTGCTAAGCTGTATAGACTCTGCCATCATGCCATGTGTGAAAGTGAGTGTGTGTCTATTCCCTTCTAAAAAGACACGGAACAGAAGAGAAAGTGAAGAAAATAGAATGGTAAAGCCTTGCCAAATGCAAAGGAAGGAGGGGTGATTCCCCCTACTCCACCCCACCCAACTTGGCACCAGCAGTAACACTCCCATTAGGGTTTCGAAATGCCAGCCGGAGCTGGAATCAGCACAAGCGAGCTTCCCTGCCTGGATAAAAAGCAAGCCACCTAGCAAGAAAAGCTGGGGTGCTCCATTTGCTGCCCATATTGGCATCAGCACCACCCTTTGCTCAAAAGCCCTGAACTGGCCTAGATCAGCATCAGTGGCTGGCTCTCCCATACCAGCCAGGCTAATAGCAAGAGCTTGTTATAACTCAAGTGTGTCCTCCTCCTGAAGGGTCCTGATCTACTTCATCCCACAGATCTTCGAAGAATCCGGCCTCCAACCCCTTGCCTCCAACACATTAAAAATGGGGCCAAGATACACTCACAACTTTTCCCTGTCCAGTATGAAATAAATATCCTCCTCCTTCAGAGGCCAGCTCAATAACCCACTTACCACTACCCGCACACACGTACACACTGCATTACTGCCTCGAAAGACCGGCTCCACGAGGGGGCACGAACGCGCCCCCCCACGCCTCAGCTTGGCACCACTAACCAGTCTCGGTCACCCCAGTCCATCTGACCTAACAGCTCTCGCAAAGGTCCCTCACTCACTGGGCACCATGCCTGTGCCACCTCCCTGACACCAAAACAGGTGTCCCTCAACTAAACACCGACGCCCCCTTAGATCCTGTCCACTCCAGGCATGGGAGCCACTCTCGAGACCCCTCAACTCTTGGCGACAACACTCTTTCAGCCCCCTCCAGCCAGGCAGCGACGCCGTCTTCAGCCCCCTCCAGCCAGGCCTCGACGACCCCCAGGTCCCCAGGCTGGCCCAGACGCCCCCTCCCCCTTACCTGCGGGGGTTCAGCCCTGGCTGACAGGGGGCTGGGCAGCGCCTGGAGGAGCAGGAGCGCCATGCCACCCAGGAGCCTTCTCCTCTCCATCCCCCTCCTGCTCCTGCTCCTCCGCCACGGCGCCGCCACCTCCCTCCTCCTCCTCCTCCCTCTCCTCCTCTTCCCTCTTCTTCCTTCTTCCCTTCTTTTCCTGTTTCACTCTCCCCTCCCGCTTCCGGCTCTGCTCCACCCCGCCCCAGACCAAACACCCTCCCACACACTGGGCAGGCTCTCCAGTTCCAGCGGTTCATGGATCCTTGCCCTTCGTCCATTGACCAAAACAGCTGTCGATCAAGTAGAAATCCCGCCCCTTCGCCCCCCAATGGAGACGGAAGACCTGAGGGATCCAGCCAATGAAAAGTAAGAGGAAGCCGGGCCATCTTGAGTGCTGCACGGCCGTGTAAATGCGTCCCACGCCACAGAGAGTGGCGGAAGTAGCTCCGATCCGGGGGCGGGCCCTCTAGTATGAGCATTGAAAAGTCTAATTCCGATGCAGCCATTTTAAGCGTGGCGGAAGTACTAGATTTATACACTATTGCAAAGGGAGAGAAGGGATATGGTAATTCTGAAGAGTATTGGAAAAGATCTGAAGAGTATTGGAAAAGAAGTTGTGATGCTCCTAAAGAAGAAAACAACTGCAATCTAGACATCTTTTGACGTCTTTTGTTTTGAAGCACTGCCCTAGTACCTTGTCTCAAATTGCCCAGGGGTATATTAGGTCAATTTGAATTCTCTTTGAAACAATAACTTTACCTGAAGCAGTGTTGGGTCATCCCAAGTTCCAGGGACAAAATTCTGTGGACTCTACCTCAGAAATCTCTCTGAAATCCACTCCCATTGTTTCCATCCCTGTTCTCATCTTCTAGCTAAATATATAGTCCAAACTACTCAATATGGTTCTCTCTTGTGTCCTGATTCCTGCCTACTTCTTTTTACCTCATCTTCTGCCGCTACATTTTCCCACACATTCCACTTACACCAAACTCTTAAGAGATCCCCCCAGTGTGGTGTGCTACAGTACACTTAACTTCATTTACACATTGAACATACAGTTCTGTTTGTAAACTTCTAGTTCCCATCCCCCCCTCCCCCCCCCACCCCCACCTTCTTCCTCTGGATTACCGTAACACTAACACACACTGTATCTGATTGTAGTAAGTACCTGGCTGACCCCTGGCACTAAATTGGCAACTTTGTTATGGCACACCAGGTGTTACTCTTTCTTTCTTTTTTTTTTAAGATATCCCTACAACGTCTTGTACAAGGCCCAGCCGTGAGTCCAACAATGTTGGCAAAATAAATGAACAAGTGAAGACCCATGCCAGAGAAGCCAGATTCCAGTAGCTGCCAATTTCCTCTCAAAGTCCTGCCAAAGCATTTTGCAGCCTGGCCTAGTCTAGCCCATAGCAGAGCCCATAGGGAGTTTGTTCTTGGCTTAAATGGTGGCAAAGTGGGAAATAAGAGTGAAGAGATGGGTTCTGCCTCTATCTTGATCCTGCTTTCCTAAGTGTTACAAAAGATGACAAGTTTTTTTGTGCCAATCTCAAATGTCTTAGAAATTCATCCATCCCACAAGCTCCCTAAGGGAGAAATAAAGATAAAGCATCAGGCAAAGCTGAAGTATTTTCACAGCACAGGGTCTCAGTCCTGGCCTCAAGGTTTGAGAAGTCCTCCTATATAAAAGCCAGGTATCATCTTTAGGATGCTAATTTCAATTTAGCAAACACAGGAGGTTTCTGTCCTAACTTCCCTTTCTTTCTTTACCTGAAAGCTTAAACTAAGCCGCTGCATGGGAGAAACACTAAACCCTGCCCAGTCTGGATTAACACTTTCCACACGAAGGCGTTTGAGTCACCCTAGCCACCTCGCTTCCCACATCCCACAGATGCCAACTCAAAGGGAAGCAAAGGTGCAGTCTGAGGGAGCACTTTTTAAAGTGCCTTTAAACTGTAGCCACTACAAACTTCAAACTTTTCCAAAAGAGCGATTGTCTATAAAGGGAGGAGGAATGCCAGGAAGTTTAAGGAGCTGGGAGGGAAAGGAGAAGGTTGTTGATTCTTGAAAAAACATCAGTGGGGAACTGCTTCCAAACTCTGGCTAGCTCTGGTAATGGTCTTCCTATTTGCCTTTGGAAATGGGCAAAGTGGAGGCCAGATCTCCTATCCTAAGGAAGCTGGCTCAGACACACAGACTTTTCTGCTCGGAAATCAACTAAAGTCAAATTGCACATGTTATGGAATGGATGAACTTTGAAAATATTATGCTAAATGAAAAGTAGTCAGACACAGAAGGCCATAAACTGTGTGACTTCATTTATAAGAAAAGTCCAGGATAGGCCAATCTATAAAGGCAGAAAGTAGATGAGGGGTTCAAGGGAGTGGCAGATGATGGGAATCCAGAGACTGCCAGGTGGTACAGAGTTTCTTCTGGGAGTAAAAAACATCTGAAATTAGTGATGATGATTACAACTCTGTGGATATACTAAAAACCACAGAATTGCACACTTTAAAAGGATGAGTTTATGTTACATGAGTTCTGTTTTAATTGCTTTAAGTTTATTTATTTTGAAAGAGACAGAGTGTGAGCAGGGGAGGGACAGAGGACAGTCCCAAGCAGGTTCCCAACACTGAACCCACAAAACTGGAAGATCATGAACTGAGCTGAAAACAAGTCAGACCCTTAACCGACTAAGCCACCCAGGCACCCCTGAAATTTTTTTAATGTTTATGTATTTTGAGAGAGAGAGATTGCACCCACAAGGGAAAGACAGGGGGAAAGAGAATCCCAAGCAGGCTCCACGCTGCCAGCACAGAGCTGGACACAGTGCTCGAACCCAAGACCATGAGATCATGACATGAGACAAAATCAAGAGTCGGATAATTTGACTGAGCCACCCACGCTCCCCTGTTATGTCTTTTTCAGAGAAATGTGTGTTCATGTCTTCTGCCTATTTTTTCAAAAAACTATTTTTATTTAAATAATCTCTACACCCAACGTGAGGTTTGAACTCACAACCCCAAGATCAAGAGTCTCATGCTTTTCCAACTGAGCCAGCCAGGTACCCTTTGCTGCCCATTTTTTAATTGGATTATTTGTTTTTGTGTGTGTGTGTGTGTGTGTGTGTGTGTGTGTGTTGAGTTGTATAAGTTCTTTATGCATTTTGGATAATAACCCTTTATCAGCTATGTCATTTGCAAATATCTTCTCCCATTCAGTAGCTTGTCTTTTAGTTTTGTTGACTGCTTCTTTGGTTGTATAGCTTTTTATTTTGATATAATTAACAATAGTTTATTTTTGCTTTTGTTTTCCTTGCCTCAAGAGACATATATAGACTCCCAATTTCTGCTTTAACAACCCATCCAGTTGACTCTGAAATATGTTCTTAAGAACCACTGCTCCAGAGTGGAGGAAACATTTTGTGTAAAGTAGAAGAGAGCAAATATTTTATGCTTTGCGTGCCACATACATGGGGCTCTCTGTCACATATTCTTGGTTCTTCTTTTATGCCCTTTAAAAATATAAAACATTCTTAATTCCCAGGCACACAAAAACAAGTAGCAGGTGCATTTGGACCCTTGAGCCACAATCTGCCACTCTAGAACAACACAGCTCCCATTCTGCAGCGTCCGGCATATTTTTCCTCCATAATAAGGGAAATAAACAATTGCCTCCAGGCATCAGACATTCCTTATAGTTGTAATAACCTCTTGCATGCCAAGGTCAAAGTGAGACCAGATCCTGCTTTCCATCCAGGCTTTTACTAATTCAGCCTGCATACAGTTCATTACGCTCTTTCAAGAAATTTATTTGATTCACAGTGATATCCTTTGAACAGTGAGTAAATTCTACTAGATGAAACTCAGACAGACATTGATCCCTAGTAAGCCACAATGGTCTCCTTCCACCCCCAACCCACACCAAGCCTGGAAAGTCACCTACAGCAGCCAGATGGGAAGGGCAAATGGCTGCACTTTGCTGTGCATCCTTTAAGGCTCTTTGATCCTGGTTGGTTACTTCTCAGAGGTATCCAAATAAAACTTCTCTTTCCTATTCAGTACATACCAGTCTTTGGTGTTTAACCCAATGGGCTGAGGAAGGGAGGCAGCTAGGAAAATATACCCGTTAAAATGCGTTATTAATGCCTACATATATTGTTTTTACTCACAGTTAGTGGATTTATCTTTTAAACACAGAGAGGTATAATCAGACATGATTTTAGCACAGGAGGACAAAGTCAGTGTCCATAGACAGGGCTTAAAGCACCATTAAACTTTGTTACCTCATGCAATGACCCTTTTTAGCACTAAGAACCCCTGGGTGCCTGACCAATTAAGATTAGCAGCATTCCCAAAGACGCTTTTTGACCAGGGGACACTGGGGATGAGAATGTGGAAGAATGGAGAAGGGCCCCAAGGTGACAAAGGTTTCTTCACCTCCATTCCTGAGCTAGAACTGCAAGGGTAAAAAGTTTCATAGCATGAGATAAGATGAGGAGGAAAGGAAGAGGAAAGAGGAGTAAGACCTTCTATCTGCCCCAGGGGCTCTTCCCCAGTCCTGGCTGGAACTAGAATCCCAAAAGTTTCCTAATTTTTCCAAATGGTTGAGTATCTCCCTCAGGTCCCATCAGCTCCTCCTTCAGGGGGTCTCAGCTCCTGGTCTCCAGGGGATGGTGGTTTAGGGAGGAACAGATAAAAGATTTGGTCTTTGCTCCCCTTCTTCACTTTTATCCCCTGGAGTCCAATAAGCCAGATGCCTGGGTGAAAACACGAGGCTCCCCACCTCCGAAATCTACCCTGGCTTTCAGGCCCCAGGAGAAGAGGAAAGAGGGCACAGGTGTACAGAGCAGCTGAGGAGCTGGTGAACATGGGCACAGATTGGTCCTTACTGGGGCGAGGCATTTAGAGGCCCTTATTGAAGTAGACATAAGGCACAAGTTCTCCATACTTGGCTCTGATGGTGTCTTGGAGCTCTGGTTCCAGATAAGAAGCTGGCAGTTCACTGAGAAGAGAGAAGGGGATTATGAGCATGCCAACCGGACAAGCAACAAATTATCGTCAGATAAAGTCCAACTCAAATGCCACCTCTAAGAAGCCCTTCCTGATTTTTCCATCAGAATGAATGGCCTGTATACAACATAATATATTGCTTTTACTTCTACTCAAGCCTGACCTTCATTTTCCTTGGTGCCAAACTTCCATCTTCTCTGCAAGATTGCAAGCACGGTGCTTGAACACGGGAGAAATCTAGCAGACGACACTGAAATATGAATACTAAGGCAAGGGAACCTGGCATCTTCTCGGTATATATCCAAGCTGCACCTCGTCTCCTGGAGCTAATCCTCTCCCCTCCCACAATTTGATGCTTTGTTTCCCCTTTCCATCATCCCTTCTCACACCCCTTCCCTGCCGGGACATATACAAGAAAAGGAGAGAGGTCCAAGTCATCCACCCCCTACCAAACACACTCCAGAATAAGTACCTATCCCTTTCTTCCATTCCAAGGACCAGAGCCAGCCAGGGAAGATGTATCTAATAACCTAACCCGCAGGGACAGAAAGTTTCTTCCTGTTCCCCCACTTCCCTCCAAGGCAGCCCGTGCTCCACTAGGAGGAAGCAACTCATGCCTCCATCCCTTAGAGGTCCGTTTGGGTTTACCATTCACCCGGGGCTAAGAGGCCCAGAGTTTAGGCTGATAGGCACTTGTCCTTAGACACATGCTGCCCTTCCTGCCCCTCCTTGTCTCCTTCAGGATGCAGGCAGGTCAGGGAGAGCAGGGACAGGGCATTCAGTAAAACAAAGTAAGGAACGAAGAGCTGTTACCATTTCTGTGGGAAGAGCCCACATGCGACCGGCACCATGAAGATGAGGCTGGAAGAAAAGAGAAACAAAGTGTGAAGGGCATCGCCCCGCAGGCCTACTCACACCCTATCTCTGAGTCCCCCAAAGGAAGGGGGAGATGCCCACTCACCAGCCCGCCCGCCCTGCCGCTCCACGGCTCCTCTCCCTGCAACTCTTCTCTTGGTCTCTCAGTGCCAGGATAGTCATTCTGGGATGGGAAGGAATTGGCCTCCCTTCGCCTCCCACATCTGCCTGCTGTTCAAGCAGATGACGATAACGAAGGCACTGGGAGTGCAAGTAGCAGCCCTGGGCACTGAGCAGTGAGGGGTAGGACCCCTGAGGTCCTGCGCCCCCAGCCCTGAACACCTGGGCTGATAGAGAACAGAACAGGGCAGCTTCTCAAACTTCACTATGCATGCAAGTAACTCGCGGGGCTTGTTAAAAAGCGATGTTGACTCAGGGGGTCTGGGCAAGGGCTTAAGAGCATTTCTAAGGTTCTCAGATGCTTCAGGTCCAATGCTGTGTCTTACAGGACTTGGGAATCTAATAGACCAGGGTTCATATCCCAGCTTGCTACTTCCTCACTGTGTCATCTTGGGTGAGTTACTCCTGAGTCAGCAGGGGGACGACAAGGGTGCCTACTCTGCAGGGCCACTGTGGGCGTGAAATGAAAGGGTGCATGTGGCACTCAGCTCATGGGAACCGCTCACTCGGTGGCGACTCAATTAGCAGGAGATAGTGGGGCCTGGGAGACTGCCCAGGATCTGACCTCAACTCCAGCAATTATGAGCTACAGAGCCTTGGGCAAGTCTTTTCATCTCTCTAAACCTCAGTTTTTTCATTTGTAAAAGGAGATAATGGACCTATCTATACTTCTAGGATGGAGGGGATTCAGCGAAATTATAGATGTGCATGAGCTCAGTGGGAACACACAGAAAACATTCAATACTTGCTGGTTGTTCCTGTTGTTTACAAGCCCTGTGGCCTTGTAAAGTGTGACTGACGCTCAGACACAGCCAGTCAAGGGTGGGCATCTAAGCACGCTGCCATGGCTTGTGTTTTGTTGTATTTATTTGTTTGCTTGTTTGTTTTTGAGAGACAGAGAGAGAGAGAGAGAGAGAGCACGTGCACAAGCAGGGGAAGGGCAGAGAAAGAGGGAGACACAGAATATGAAACAGGCTCCAGGCTCTGAGCTGTCAGTGCAGAGCCCAACGCCAGGCTTGACCTCATGAACTGTGAGATCATAACCTGAGCCAAAGCTGGACACTTAACCCACTGAGCCACCCAAGTGCCCCTATTTATTTATTTTTTTAAAGGTTTGTGTATTTATTTTGAGAGAGAGGGAGAAAGTGTGAGTGGCTAGGACCAGAGAGACTGGGAGAGAGAAAGAATCACAAGCAGGCTCTGTGCCGTAACCACAGAGCATGACGCAGGGCTGGATCTCACAAACCAGGAGATCATGACCTGAGTCAAAATCAAGAGTCAGACGCTTAACCGACTGAGCCACCCAGGCACCCAATGGTGTTTTCCATTTGTGTGAGGTTGGGATGCTTGATGGCCCCAGGCTGTCCCATCATTTTTATGTCTCAGTATATCTGTGTATTTACTTAGTTAATTTATACTGAAATATAGTTGGCATATAATACTGTGTCCACGTAAGGTATAGAGCATGTTGATTTGATACAGTGAAACACTGCAATTCGTTTGCCTCCTCAGCATTAGCGAACACCTCTATCTCTGTCACAGAATTATCATTTCTTTTTTTTTTTAATTTATTTCTTTCTTTTTGAGAGAGAGAAAGAGTGAGCAGGGATGGGCAGAGAGAGAGAGAGAGAGAGAGAGAGAGAAAGAGAATCCCAAGCAGGCTCCACACTGTCAGCATAGAGCCCGATATGGGGCTCGAACTCACAAGCCATGAGATCATGACCTGAGCTGAAACCAAGAGTCGGACTTGAGCCACCCACGTGCCCCCAGATTATCATTTCTTTTTTGTAGTGGGACTGTATTGTGGTTTTCCTCTCCTCTCCGGTCTGAAGGTGAGAGGAGGCCCCAGGACAGGGGGTCCCCCAAGGACTCTGCTCTCCATGCAGACGTGTGCACAGAGCCTAGCCGGCCTGATGCCCTCAAGAAAGATGGGGCTAGAGGTGCCTGGGTGGCTCAGTCAGTTAAGCATCCGACTTTGGCTCAGGTCATGATCTCATGGTTCGTGGGTTCGAGCCTCGCATCAGACTCTGTGCTGACAGCTAGCTCAGAGCCTGGAGCCTGTTTCACATTCTGTCTCCCTCTCTCTCTGACCCTCCCCTGCTCATGCTGCCTCTCTCTCTCTCTCAAAAATAAATAAAACATTAAAAAAAAAAAAAAAAGAAAGATGGGGCAAGGGTGCTCTGTATGGCCCACGTACAGAGCTCAGGCGCTGTGGAAGTCAGGTGAAAGACAGCACATTCTCCAACATGGGCAACACAAGAAGACAGTGCTAAGGTGACCTTCCTACCACAGAACCCAAACCATGAAAATATATTACTCATTGGGGCGCCTGGGTGGCTTAGTCGGTTAAGCGTCCGACTTTCGCTTAGGTCGTGATCTCACGGTTCGTGGGTTCGAGCCCCGCGTCAGGCTCTGTGCTGACTGCCAGCTCAGAGCCTGGAGCCTATTTCAGTGTCTGTGTCTCCCTCTCTCTCTGACCCTCCCCGGCTCATGCTGTCTCTCTCTCTCTCCCCTAGAAATAAATAAAAGTATTAAAAAAAAGAAAGAAAGAAAGAAAGAAAGAAAATACATTACTCACAAGCACCCAGACAGCAGCACTTGCAACGGGGCATGGAGAACCTTGACTTTCTGAACAAAAACAAACAAAAGAAAGAGCCATATAAGACTTAAAGATCTTAACGTGAACCCCAAAGCTGCCCTACCCCTGAGCAGTCCGCTAGAAACCCACAGGCATGAAATGCCTAGCTGTGAAGGAGAGACAAGGGGGCTTCTCTTGCTCTCTACAAACAAGGCCAATCTACTGGCTACAGCATCTAAAGCAGGCAGCCAGCAGGGACGGTATGGGCCCTCCCTAAGGGAAAGAAGGCCAGCAGCTAGAGAGAAGGATGACGGTCAGGAGCTGCTAAGGTAAGGTTGAGGGGCCTCTGGGCAGGGAAGACAGAGGAGAGAACCCCACTCACCTTCATGAAACGCAATTTCTCCAGCCTTTCCATGATGACTGGCAGCAAGACTGGAAGAGACCAGGGAGAGCGTGGGGGGAGGGCTCTAAGACTCTCTCCAAGACCCCTTCCCCAAGTCAGGTGATTCCCCCCACCTCCCCTAACGTTCCAGAAAATACTTTAAGACCGTGTAGGCACAGCCACCCCTAACCTGTCCCCTAAGTCCTAGGAGAAGTGTGCTTCCCGAACTTCTCCACTTGTACACCTGCACTAGGACATGTACCGCAGGCCCAAAGCGTCCTTCTCAAAACTCGAATCTTTGAAGGCTCACGCAAACAAACCCCTTATCCTACCCTGTAACACGCTTCTGCTAAAAGCAAGACCAGGACAGGGGATGTGTTTTCTTTACCACTGTCTTCCTGGCACCCCACACTGTGTCCAGCACATTGAAGGTACTTAATGAATATCTGTGGAATGAAAAGAACTTTCTTCCCCACATCTCTGACTAACTGACATTCCGGCAACTACAGTGTGGTTCTCCTGTGGGCGTCTGTACTCCAGCACCACGTAGGAGTAAGGTATACAACATGTGGATCTGATATACTAATACAGGGTAACAGGAGTCCCACTATAGCATCAGCTCTGATCTCTAGCAGATCACACATTTATTGTTTCTTTTTGGTGGTGCAAAAAGCCAGTTTGACAAGCTGTAGAAGCTGGGGCCCCACTTCCCACCCAAAAGCTGAGTATGGCTGAGGCCTCCATCACGTGTTGTGTTCCAGGGTCCTCCAGGACAGGAGGGCTTCTTTATCTTACTCATGCCAGGGGCTGCCATGGTGATCCGAGAAATGACCACTTGTGTGATGCCTATGGCCGCAGCTCTCTGAGGACAGAAAAGAGCAAGTTGTCAGGAGTGACCTCATCCAGTATCCATGGGCCGCACCAGAAGCCTGGGTCAAGAGTCAGGATCAGGTGTGAGCTGATAAAGGGGAAGGGATAGATCTGCCAGAGGCTGTATCCTCACCCAACCCTCTCTCACCGAGCTAGACTTTTATGGATTCAGGACCAGAAATGATAAGAGAAAGGATATGACAAGCCTGTTCTGAATAAGAAATGTAGGGAAATTGAAGGGCGGGAGAATAGAGTCAGGGGGACCCTATAACAGAACCTGAGCCTGCTCTAACCACTAAGAACAGAACAGGTATAAGAAATTCCCTCCTCCCACCCCAAATGGATGCTTCTGCTCACCCGGGAATGACCGATCTCATTTTGATTCCCGTCCTTCACGCAGATGCCCTGGATGAGTTCCCTAAACATAGACAGGAGCTGCTGAACATGGGAAGGGGGTGCTGGAAGCCTGTCTGCAGCAATGTGACACACCAGGTAACCAAGGCCAGCACACTCAAGCTCCAGAAAGCCACCTCCTACACTCCGGCCCTTTGATCTTCCTTGTGTATTCCAGTGAGTGGTATCTCAGGAGTGATCTAGGGCAGTGGCTAAGAGAGCTAGGCCGGGGCTCAGACTGCCTAGGCTGAATCCTGAAAATGCTGAGTAAGTCTCTGATCTTGAGTAGGTTCCTGAATTCCTTCTAAAGACTCAATTATCCTCATCTGCAAAATGGCACTCACTTCACGGGAATGGTGAGGATTAAATAGGACAATGCCTGCAAAGTGCTTAGTCTGGCGCCTGACAGAGTGACTGCTCCGTAAATAGTAGCTATACTGGCTATTATTCTCTGGTTAGTTCTTGACAGCTCTCGACCCTGGACCAGATAGGTGGCTGGGGCTCATTCATTTGTTGGGAAGGAGACCCTGGGTGGGGGAGGGAAAGAGAGGACCAATGTGTATGCATGACTCTTCCCATAGTGGGCTCTTCCCACAAGCGCTGTTGTGCTAAGTTCCTGCTTGCTAGCAGTCCTAAGTAAACGGGGCTGGTAGACACTGGTGATGGTGATGAAGGCCATGACGATAACAGTAGCAGTAAGGGCTAACACTTAGGTAGCATTTGATACCTTCCAGGAGCTGTTTTCAGTGCTTTATGTATATTACATCATTAAATTTTACAACATCGATGCTTTCTCTAGTCAAAAAAACAAGAACAGCAAGACACACGGATCTCTCATTTAACCTTTCCCACTGTGAAGCTTGAGCCGGGTGCCTGGAAAACATCTGTCTACTCCTCTGGCTTCTTTCAAAGCTTCTTGGCTCTGTTCTATCTTTGGACACCTCGCTTTGCTACGTTTCATTCTGTAAGCCATCTCCAGGGCTTTGGAAGTAGGCAGGGCTCACAACTTAAATATGGTTGCAGTCGAAAGGACACGATCTCCTACGAAGCCCCCGAGTCCACCCTATCCCCACCCCCATCCCGCACGATCCAAAAAATGACTCCAACAACACTCAACACAGACTAAACCTAAGTCACCTGCCATTCCTGTGGCCATCACTGTTGGAGCAGCCCAGCAGCCCTCCCCACACCCACCTCAGCCCCTAAAAGCCACTCACTGCCTTGATTTCGGCCCTGGCCCCACTAACCTTAAGGTGTATAGGGAGGCAAAGGGAGCCCCATACTCACTGCTGTCGCATCATTGGGATGTTGACACAGTTAGCAGCAGCCACAGCAGCAAAGGGCACCCAGCGGCCCACCAGGGGTGGAGCTCTCTATTGGGGAAAGGGAATAATAAGGGTCACTGGAAGATGGGAGGGGAGGGGGCTTAAGGACCATAAAACAAGAAATCAGACCTCGCTTCTGCCACACATCCAGACACTTGGTCTGGGAACCCAAATTCCCTCAGAGGCCCAAGACCAACCTGGGGAGAGCTTGGCTACATTTCCCACTAGTTGGCTGGGCTCACCCAGACAAGGGCATTGCCAGGCCTGGGGGAAAGTTTTCCCTAGGATTTTGCTGCCCCCTAGTGGCCACCATGCCCACAGCTGCCCCAAGAGCATACCTTTGTCAACATGTTCATGCTCACAGCGGTGGCCACAGCAGTGGTTGTGGCTGTGATGTAGGAAAGGGCCATCTGCCTAGTGGAGGAGAGACAGGCTTGGGAGTGGGTGGCCCTGCTGGCTGAGGGCAAGACCATGACTTTATTGAGAAAGTCTGGACATGAGGCTTCATGTCTGAGAAGCTCATGTGAACTATCCCCAATGCCATCTTATGACATTCCCCCCTAAACACACACAAAGCTCCAGCCCCGTGGCCACCTTCAGTACATTAAGCAAAGAGCAAACTCTTTTCTGCTTCAGCACCTTTGCATGCTGTCGCTCCCTATCCAGGGAATTCTTCTGTCGGCTCTACATGGCTAAATCCTTATCCTTCAGAAATCAGCAGAAATGTGGGCTCCCTGGAAAAGACTTCCCCCAACCAGCCCAACCACACAGATGCCCCTCTGCTGTTCATTATCTTGTCACCTGTTTATTTCCTTAATGGCAGCAGTTAGGATCTAAGATTATTGAGCTTGTTTCCTTAGAAGTCCTTAAATTCCGTAAGAACCATGCCAGGCACTTAATATCTACCCAAGAAATGCTTGATAATGAACAAATGAATAAACTTTGAACTGGTCTAGGAAGATAACTCTCCTCATCAGCCTCAGAAAATACTTGCAAACCGTAAAAAAGGGGACTTGGTCACCTGCCCAGAATAAGCCCCACCTGGGGAAGATAGCCTGAGAACCCATTAGAAGGGCTGTTTCCCTCACGAGGACAACTACCCACTCCTGACCCACGCGGACAGCCTGGGGTTCAAGTCTCCTACCTGACCGACGTGGGGGAAGCTGCATTCCTGTTGGTATAGTTGACTAAGGCATTGAAGGACTGGTTTACCCACTGCCAGAAGATCACAGCCGGCATCGTCCTACCGTAAGGGAGGCCCAGAAAGGCAGAGGAGAGTCATGCAAGGTTTGGTGGACACCCCAGATTACCTGCTGTTCCCCAAGCGTCCCATGCTGTTTCATGCACCTGGGCTTTTGCACAGGCTGGTTCCTCTGCCTGGAATACACACACACACACACACACACACACACACACACACCTCTTCCATTCATGGCTAAATCCTGCTTTGTTGAGACATCACTTCTTTGGAACCTTCCTGACCCTTCCCCCACCCTTCCTCGACTGTGAGTCATTCTATGCTCCCTGTTCTCATAACCCCCTATTCTCCCTACAACCTACCACTTAGCAGGCTAGACTATAGCTGTTTAGCTATTGATTTCTTCAACAAAACTGGAGAAGCTCTTTGAGGACAGGGACTATAGTTTTTATATGCCTAACACCTGGCCCAAGGCCTGGCTCAATAACTGGACAGACGGATGCATGGGGAAGAAGGGCAGAAGGAAGAGGGGAAGGCAGGGGAGAAGCTACAGCAGCTACAGAGAAAGTTTATTCTCTCCCTACTGGGCTGAAAGGGTCTTCCTATTTGGGGGAGGGGGGGACAAGGAGGGTCATCTTCCCATATTTTTTACTAGGACATTACATTATAAAAATATATTAATATTTCATTGTTGAGTAAGTATTTTCTAAAGAGGGAAGTAGGATGGCTTATTCATTGAGAGTTCTTGAGAGGACTGCCTCAGTTAATATCCGGGCACCCATATTTCCTGGCTGTGTGGACTTGGACAAGTCACGTCACCTCTCCAGAACTTCAGTTCTTCATCTACAAAATGTAGGGTTGATGCGAAGATTAAATGAGATAATACAGGTGAAGAAGGTCACACAGTGCCTGGTATTTGGTAAGGGGTCAATAAAGATGGCTATGATTGTCATCATAATATGGCTCCCTGCCCAGCAGATTCAAGTGGCCACACTGCCCACCACCTTGCTCCCAGGTTCCACCTGTAGAACTGGAGCATGAAGCCCGTGATGATCATGCCGCCAGGGACCTGGAAGGACATCCGCCCGATGACATTCATCTTGTCCCCGGTGTCAGGATGGAAGGCTGAGTCATACAGCTTCTTGGCATACAGCAGCTGCTCCAGTTGGGTGCCTGGAGGCACGACCCCCATCCTGCCACCCAAGGATAATGGACAGAGTTACCGGCCAGGACCCGTGTCCCAAGTCACCGTGCTCCCCCCTTCCTGAGAGCTCTGCCTAGTCCCACATCTCTAGTTTCCACCTTCTCCCTAGAGATCCGTGTGCCTCCAGCCCCTTCCCCCCAGCTGCTCACCTGCTCTTCTCCACCATCCCCTTGGCCCAGTCCAGCTCACGCTCTGGGACCAAGACAGTGCGCGGGTCTGTGATATTGAAGAAGTGCTTCACCCGCCCCAGGAAAGTGCACTGGTCCCAACGGGGGACATCAATGTTAAAGCCAGACAGATCAGCCTCCATCTTGTTCACACACAAAACTGTGGACTTAAGGAACAGAGAAGGGAAATGAGGATTGTCCCCCAAACCACAGCCTGCCCCTGAGGCCCTGAACACTTCCTGCGGTTGTAGAATGCCTGCTTTCATCCACCACTAGCATCGTTTGACTAAGTTTGGGCAGGGCCTAGTGAATGGTCACTGGACTGAGGAACCGGACACCGATAAGTGTTTCCTGAGGGCCTGCTCGTAGCCAGCCCTGTGCTTGACCTTGCTGGGAGACACTGGAAAATGGGGTAACACCGTGCCTATTCTTGGGGAACAAGAGCCCACCCGTGGAACAGGATATAATATACATGCAAGAGTAAGTACGGGAGAAGAGAGAAAGCAGAGATGGGGGAGCACAGTAAGAAAAGGGGGCTTCCCAGAAGAGATGGAATGTGAGCCCCATAAGATAGACTGATCTGAAGGAGGCAGAAGGCATGAATCATAGTCAAAGTAGAAACAATTACAGACAAAGGTAGAAATGAACACGGCATGATCACTGTCATCACTTCTGTATACGTGTGTGTGGTGCATGCCGGTCCTGTGAGAGATCTCAGGCCATGGCTGTGACTGAGGTACCGCACCTGCCCTCAAGGAATTACAGAGTGGGAGGTAAAGCCACAAGGACAGCAGTGTGAACAATGCTGTGGACACTGAGGGCAGTGGAAAAAACCAGAGATGAGGCATCTAAAACTGCAATGACCTTATCTCCAAGTTTTCCTGGGACTACTGCCCCAGGGTTATTGTTAATAGCATCCCCGTGCGCTCGCAAAAGTGTCCTGTTTTGGACATCCATTTAAAATGGATGAGGATGGGGCACCTGTGTGGCTCAGCCGATTAAGCCTCCGACTTTTGGTTTCTGTGGTTCGTGCATTCAAGCCCATCAGGCTCTACACTGACATTTCAGAGCCGCTTAGGATTCTCTCTTTCCCTCTCTCTGCCCTTCCCGCATCTGCTCTCTCTCAAAATGAATAAATAAATTTAAAAAATAAATAAAGAGGATGAGGAATTCTGAACATGCTTTTTGAAAACAAGAAATAAACAATGTTTTGAAGGATGGGGAGAAGTTAGAGGAGAGGTATCCCAGGCCAAATGAACAACCAGCAAGGACCGCAAACAGGGCACGTGAGGACCAGATGATGTTTATCACAGCCAACACTTACTGAACTTTGACTCTATGCTAGATGCTTTGCTTGGTGCTTAACATGCATTTTCTGAATGCATCTTCACAATAACCCTATAAAGTAAGTGCCCTTTAATCTAACCCCATTTTAAGATGAGAAAACCAGGGCACAGATAAGCAACTTTACCAAGTCACACAAGCATCAGCCAGTGGCAGAGCAAGAACTTTAATTCAGCCTGATTTACTTTAGAACTCTACTTCAGATTCTGCATTTCCCTCTCTCTCTGCCCCTCCCCCACCTGCACACACATGTGCATGTGCACCCTGTCTCTCTCAAAAATAAAAATTAAAAAACCATTAAAATGTTTAAAAAAACGAATTTTTAAAAAATTTTTAATGTTTATTCATTTTAGAGAGACAGCAAGAGACAGAGCACGAGCGGGGAAGGGGAAGAGAGAGAGAGAGGGAGACAGAATCTGAAGCCGGCTTCAGGCTCTGAGCGGTCAGCACTGAGCCCGACACGGGGCTCGAACCCATGGACCGTGAGGTCATAACCTGAGCCAAAGTCAGATGCTTAACCGACTGAGCCACCCAGGCGCCCCTTAAAAAAGGAGTTTAAATAACTATGATTGATATGCCAAGGACTCCAATGGGAAAGTGGACAACATGCAAGAACAGATGGACAATATAAGCAGAGGAATGGAAACTCTAAGAAAGAATCAAAAGGAAATGTTAGAAATCAGAATCCAAAGCAGGCTCCAGGCTCCAAGCTGTCAGCAAAGAGTCCAATGCAGGGCTTGAACTCACAAACCATGAGATCATGATCTGAGCCGAAGTCAGACACTTAACTGAATGAGCCACCCAGGCGCACCACCTTTTTATTTTTAAAAGATTTTAAGTAATCTCCACATGGGGCTCAAACTCACAACTCTGAGATCAAGAGTTGCATGTTTTACTGACTAAGCCAGCCAAGCACCCCATTTAATATAATGACTGTCAATCTCTTTTTATTTTTAATTTATTTTTTAAATTTTATTTATTTATTTTGAGAAAGCATATGGGAGGGGCAGAGAGAAAGAACCCCAAGCAGGCTCTGCGCTGTCAGTGTGGAGCTTGACGCAGGACTCAAACTCACGAACTGTGAGACCATGACCTGAGCCGAAGTTGGATGCTTAACCAACTGAGCCACCTAGGTGCCCCCTCCTTTTTTTTTTTTTTTTTTTAAGTAGGCTCCATGTCCATGGGGCTTGATCTCATGACTGTGAGATTGAGAGTCACATGCTCTACTGACTGAACTAGCTAGGTACCTCTGAGAACTTTCATGAGCTCATCGGTACACTGGACATGGCCAAGGAAAGAATCAGTGAGCTTAAATATGTGTTAGCAGAAGACTCTCAAATGGTAAAGTAGAGAAAAAGTAAAATAAAAAAAACCAGAATAGAAAATCCAAGAACCCTGGGGCAATTACATATGGTGTAACATACATGTAATGGGAATGCCAGAAGGTGAAGAGGGGAGGGAACAGAAGAAATATTTGCAGCAATAATGACTGAGAATTTTCCAAAATGAATGACAGACATCAAGCCACAAGTCTAAGAGGCTCAGAGAACACCAAGAAGGATAACTACCAAAAAATCTACACCTAAGGGTGCTTGGCTGGCTCAGTCAATGGAGCATATGACTCTTGATCTAAGGGTTGTGAATTCAAGCCCAATGTTGGGTGTAAATTACTTAGAAATAAAATCTTTTAAAAAAAAATCTAGGGGCGCCTGGGTGGCTCAGTCAGTTAAACGTCTGACTCTTGGTTTTGGCTCAGGTCATAATCTTGAGGTTCCTAAGTTCAAGCCCTGAGCTGGGCTCTGCACTGACAGTGCAGAACCTGCTTGGGACTCTCTCTCTACTCTCTCTGCCCTTCCCCACTTGAATGTGTGTGCACGCTCTCTCTCTCTCAAAATAAATAAACTTAAAAAAAAAAGAAGAAGGGTGCCTGGGTTGCTCAATTGGTTGAGTGTCTAACTTTGGCTCAGGTCATGATATCGTGGTTTATGAGTGTGAGCCCCACATCGGGCTCTGTGCTGATAGCTCAGAGCCTAAAGTCTGCTTTGGACTCTGTGTTCCCCCTCTCTCTGCCGCTCCCCTGCTCATGTTCTGTCTCTCTTTCTCTCACTCTCAATAATAAACGTTAAAAACATAATAAGATAAAAAAAAAAAGAGAGAGAGAGAAAATCTTTAAAAAATAATCTAGGGGCGCCTGAGTGGCTAAGTCACTAAGTCACTTAAGTATCTGACTCTGGGTTTCAGCTCAGGTCATGATCGCAAGGTTCACTGTGTTTGAGCCTGTCAGCCTCCGCACTGAAAGCACAGAGCCTGCTTGGGACTCTGTTTCTCCCTCTCTCCCTGCCCTTCTTGTCTCCTCCTCTCTCTCAAAAATAAATAAACTTTGGGGGGAAAAAAAAACGACTCCTAGGTGGGAATACAAATTGGTACAGCCATTATAGAAAACAGTATGGAAGTTCTTCAAAAAATTAAAAATAGAATTACCATGTGATCCAGAAATTCCACTACTGGGTATTTACCCAGAGAATATGAAAATAATAATTTGAGAAGATATGTGCACCCCTATGTTTATTACAAAATTATTTACAATAGCCAAATTATGGAAGCAGCCCAAGTGTCCATGGATAGATGAATGGGTAAAAAAGATGAGGTATATGCATACAATGGAATATTACTGAGCCATAAGATAATGAAACCTTGACATCTGCGACAACATGGATGGATCTAGAGAGTATTATGCTAAGTGAAATAAGTCAGAGAAAGACAAATACCATACGTTTCCACTTGTATGTGGAATTTAAAAACAAAACAAATGAACAAATAAAAAAAGATAACAAGCAAAAAAAGGACTCTTTTTTTAATGTTTATTTATTATTAAGACAGAGAGAAACACAGCATGAGAGGGGGAAGGGCAGAGAGAGGAGACACAGAATGTGAAGCAGGCTCCAGGCTCTGAGCTGTCAGCACAGAGCCCGACATGGGGCTCGAACCCATGAATTGTGAGATCATGACCTGAGCCGAAGTCGGACGCTCAACCGAGTCACCCAGGTGCCCCAATGTGACTCTTTTTTTTTTTTTTTAAATATTTTTATTTATTTCTAGGAGAGAGAGAGACAGCGTGAGCCAGGGGAGGGTCAGAGAGAGAGGGAGTCACAGACTTAAACAGGCTCCAGGCTCTGAGCTGGCAGTCAGCACAGAGCCCGACGCAGGGCTCGAACCCACGAACCGCGATATCATGACCTAAGCGAGAGTCGGACGCTTAACCAACCAAGCCACCCAGGTGCCCCTCAATGTGACTCTTAACTATAGAGAACAGATTGATGGTTACCAGAGCAGAGGTGGGTGGAGGGATGGATCAAACAGGTAAGGGGATTAAACAGACATTTTAAAAAAGAGTAAACTGATCATGACGAGCACTGAGTAATATATAGAATTGAATTACTAATTGTACACCTGAAACTAATATAACTCTAAATGTTAACTATACTCAGATTAAAATTAAAAAAAAAAAAAAACTAGTCACATTATATTATATTTCAAATTGCAGAAAATCAAGACAAAGAAAATCAAGGAAGAAGTCTCAGGGAGGGAAAAGAAAACACCTTACCTATAGAGGAACAAAGATAAGAACTCTATTGGATTTCTCCTCAGATACCATGCAAGCAAGGAGAGTAGAGTGAAATACTTTAAAGCACTGAAAGAAAAAACCCCCACCAACCTGGAATTCTACATCAGCAAATTTATCCTTTAAAGCGAAGGAGAAATATGGGCTTTCCCAGAAAACAAAATTGAGGGAATTTATCACCAATAGACCTGACTTGCAAGA